ATATTTTTATTTGTAATAACTGAAATGCGTGAAGTATTATTACATTCTGTTGTGTAAATTCAATATTTGAATGTTTAATATTCCAATTTTAAAAAGTTTTATTACATTTCTTATTCTGTAATTTTGCATGCTATTGTAAATTTATTTCTGTAATTTGCTTAATTACAAATTAAAGAATTTATTTTACTTGCATACTGCAAATTTACAAATGAGTGGAAATTTACACCTATTATAGTGGGTCTTAAAATTACCCACAATAATAGGTGTAATTTTACACAAAATTTTTTTACAGTGTATCTGTTTTTCTAAGAGTTTTACACGATTAGCATAAGTGACGACGTCCTCGTCATTCTTTTGATATACGCTTCCTAACTCTCCCTGTAGCTGATACACATTTTTAGATCCGCCGTAAATTTGTTTTAGATATTTAGTTAATTGCGCTACTGTTTCGAAATCTTCATCTCTAATTGTTCGTCGCGCCTCGCCGACTATTCGCGTTCGTAAAATTTTAGTAAATTGAGACTCTGCTTCAGCATTGACTTTGCCTCTTTGCATCCTTCGATAAAATAATTTAGTGGGATATTTTTTCCGTCGAAAAATGGAACGGCTTCGACCGCGTATTTTAGGGTAGCGAACGGATTACCTTGCGCCATATTTCTCACCTTTTTACTGTCAATTGGACTTAGTTTAAAGTTTAAGTGTTCGCTTTCACCACACGGTCTAATAGTCTCGTCACCAGAATCATCGGAATCGTACTCGGGAGCACTAGATTCCACTAAAAACGCTTCAATTTCAGGTTCGTTAGTGTTGAATTTAATTCGTTTGGGGACGCAAACGGAGGAGGCTGCTGGAGTGGATGTGTGAAGTGTATCTAATGTGTCTGATTTAGTTTTCTTTTTGCCTTTTATAGCGGCATTAAATTGTTCTTCTATTTTATCTTTATCGGAGTTAGACCTCGTTGTCATTCCTACCTCTCAAAAATTGCACTTTTCATCCCGGACGAGCCCCCAATTTTTATTCTTTCTATCAAGTCTGTTACGTTCTGATAGATGTAGAATTTTTTCGTTGGGCTCGGCGATCAACGTAAACGGGCCTGACCGCACGAGCCGAGCGGCACGTTTAGGACTTGCGACGGGTCAGCAACTGGATGAGTCGTTTTTACTCCATCAACAAGTCAACCGCTCGTGGTCCTTTTTGGGTCAAGGAATTGAATCCCTTTTACTTTGGGACAAAACCTTTGTGCGCAATTTGAGAGGGAAGGTGTGAGGGGGTGACGAACGAGGAAGGTGTGGTTAAATAGAAAAGAACAAAAGTTTAATTTACTAAAGACAACATTTAATTTGATTAAATTTATAATTAGGATACAAAACTTAATTCTTAATCGCAGGTGTTAATAATTTTATTTGTGTATTCTTTACAAGTGTGTGTGTGTGTGTGTGTGTGGATTATTCCTCAGGGGAGAGGACTAGGTTTAAGAAGTCAAACCCTGTAAATACAGGGTGAGGAAGATGCGGAGGAGGCTCGACATATTCAATAGTGGTGGCTTCGGAGTTGACGGATATGTTGTCGAACTCCGAATCGTTATGTGGGAGTTCCTCCAGTTGAGCCTCTACTGGAGGAGGGTGGAAACGGACAGGCGAAGGGGGTCTGTACTCCAGGAGCTCTTCAAGGATCGGAGAGATGGACCTGGGGGTAGGAAGTGGTGAAAGATCAAGAAAGGGTTGAGGAGATTGTTGAGGAGATTCCTGAGGAATCGATGGTGATACAGAAGGTGGGTCGGTTTGCGTGTGTGTGGTTGTACGAGAGTTACTACATGGGGTGTGTCGCCTAATTCTAACGGGTCTTACGGTGACCATCGCCGCGTATCTAATGTATGGTGGGAGAAATATGGCTATGCAGAAAGCGAATGCCGAAAGGTCCGAGCGGTTCCGACGATTGTTGGGTCGCGGCGAATGTTCAGTTCTCACTGATAAATAACACAAAAAATTTTAAACGAAATAGGGACGGAGCACATAATAAGAATAAAGAGAATACTAATAAGAAGAAAAATAAAAACAAATGAACTAACTTACTCGTTACAAAATAGTTTCGGATTGGGTTGAATGTGTACGGTGGTTTTGAGCAGGCGCCCCGTTGAGGGATGGTGTGTAGGCGTCGGACCCTTTTTGTAAACGTGCGGGCACTCTGCTGCGGGATGGTGTCGTCAGGGTGATGGATCCTCTACTTGAGATGCACCACTTGGTCGCGACAAAGTATCGACTTTTTTTATTTCGCGACCCGAACTACTCGAAAACTGTCTGAAGGACTTGGCAAACTTGCTTGATGAACTGAGTGACTAATTGTGTATAATTGCGTTTGGAGCCACCAAAACACGGGTTTTTATACCCTTTCCTTGGGGTGGATCCCTTTGGAAAATCTTAGGTTTTTGGAGCGGGGATCGAATAGGAATTAGTCTTGCAAGAAAATTTTTAATGTGGGGGAGGATGGCGTCATTTTTAGCTAATAGGATTGGGTTTAGATGATTAGGTTACTTGAAAAGAGATAGGAAGAAAGGGGCCCTAACGAATAAGGAATAGCGTCGTTTCGGGTCCATATATGATGGGGGTAGGTTTTTGAGGTGGCGTAACCCGGTTGGTGTTAATTAGTATAGGTGGGGTGCATCTCAGTGTCTTAAGATCTAGGTGGGCGTAGTCTTTAGACCGTACGACGGAATGAAGGGTGGTCTATAGAGGTGCTTGCTCCGATTCCCGGCTTTCGGATTGGAGGGTTGAGAATCGGTATATGAGTTCGCGAGGCCTTGGGTCACTGATCTAATAAATTTGACAGTTTACGACTGTCGCGTGGCCCTGGAGTCGCGTGGAGAGTGCGATTAATGCATCTTGGTTTCCCAGACCTACTGAACACGTGCACCGTATCAGGTGTCATGCCTTCTAGGCGTGCGACTGTGGTCATTGCCCGATCGTCACTCGGTAAAATCCTATCTACTAGGGTTCCCGTAGGCGGAATCCAAGTATATGGCTAGCTGGTGCCAGTTTTTATTTTTACTTTAAACATCTGGAGTCGACTAAAGACTCCGGTTACCGCAAGTTTTGACTTTTATGATTTTTCTGACGACGATAGGCACGCTGACCGACCAAAGTATTTTCAAATATCTATCTCCCTTGCTATTTTTCTCCGTGAGAAAGTTCGAGCTCATGGTGTCTCGTGAGAAAAACAGCTCTGACGTTATAATATTCTTTAAGAGTTTTTTGTTGGTCCCGTGTTTACTAGGTCTGGTATTTAATAAAAAGAAAAGAATCGTGAAGTCTGATCAGGACGTAACAATAGTAATAACTCTCTTTATGTGAATTGCTTGATTTCTCGTTTTATGCAGTATAATTAAAGAAGCAAAAACTTCTTTTAAATAAAATTTTTGCTATGTGTACTTGACGTCTTTTTTCATCTAAAAACGTCGCTCCTAACGCTTGGCAGCACTGGGTTTAGCGGCTGTCGCGCGCGCGGTAAGAAGAGGAAAGGAGGCGTATACCCCGAGAATTGGTTGAAAAGCTGAAATAATTCCGAGCTCTGCTCTAAGCAATTTGACAACACTCCACGCAGAATATTTTTAAATAGTTTAGTAGAAACAGAACGTCCACGATAAATTTAGGATTTTTTACTCTTATGGACTAATTCGATCAAGCCCCCAATATAACGCCGAGTCACATTCTTGTCGAATCGCATTCTTGTTAAGTCTAAAATTTATTATTTAAAAAGTAAAGTACGCCTTGAAAGTTTTTTTAGGGTAAATATTAAAAACTATTGGATTGTATCATAAGTCCGTAGCGCTTTTTTTCTTCTTCCACGAGATTCGGTTTTTTTTTTAGATTTTTTTATTTTAAATTAAATTACTATAAACACGTTCACTGCGCATGTCTCGAATCCGAGTCGGCATGAACATAGGCAATAATAATTAGATGCGCAGTGATCGTGTTATAAACAATGGAGTGTCAAGTGGAAAAAACACATTTCCGACACCTATTGCTCTTCACGTATAACCAAGGTTTAAACGCTGCCAAAGCCGCCGAAAATATTCAAGTGGTTTACGGAGATGACTCTATCAGCGATTCGACGGCTTGCAAATGGTTTTTGCGTTTTAAAGAAGGCAATTTTGACCTTGATGACGCTCCGCGCTGCGGGAGACCAACCGACTTTGATGAGGATAGATTAAATGTTCTAATCCATGATGATCCATATCAAACGACTCGTGAATTAGCTGAGAAGATGGACAAAGATCACATGACAATCGCTCGACACTTGAAATCGATGGAGAAAGTGCAAAAACTCGGAGCTTGGGTGCCACATCAATTGAGCGCCAATAACAAAATTCGACGTATCACTATCTCGGCTTTGCTACTCGCACGTCATCGCCAAGCTGTACTCCAACATCGATCTTTCTTCAAGCTGATTATCACGGGAGACGAGAAATGGTGTCTGTATGCCAATATGAAGCGAAGGAAACAGTGGCTGAGTCTCGACAAGCAAGTAATGCCACGAGCGAAGTCCGAATTGCATCCTCGGAAGACAATGCTGTCAGTCTGGTGGGATTGGGAAGGTGTCATCCATTTTGAGTTACTTCAAAAAAATCGAACTGTCACGGCCGAGCTTTATTTGCAACAACTGCAACGTCTGGCCAATGCGATTGAACAAAAACGACCAAACCGCTGATATGATGTCATTTTGCAACATGACAATGCTCGGCCGCACACGGCTAATTTTACAAAAGTAGTTATCCAGGAGCTAGGCTGAGAAATTCTGCCGTATCCGACTTACTCACCGGACCTCGCCTCGTCGGATTACCACCTTCTCCGTTCCCTCTCCAACAATATGCGTGACATTACCTTTAAAAATGACGAGGAATTGCAAAATTGGCTTGCCGATTTTTTTGCCTCCAAACCAGTTCATTGCTGTGGAATCAAAAAACTGGTCGAACGTTGGAAAGAAGTCGTAAATAGTGGAGGAGAATATATTATAAATTAATTTATTTTTGCTTATGCCAAAAATAAATTATTTTAAAAAGTTAAAAAAAAGCGCTACGAACTTATGATACAACCCAATAAATTAAGGGATTACTTGACTTTAGTTGAAAAAAGGTATTTAAACGGTTGTAACTTTCTAACAAAAAATCATATCAACTTTCTAAGAAAAGCAAAATCTTTAAAGATCCAAATCTGTAGGTTTTCAAATAAAAATTGTTTGCTTGACTTTGGGAAACGTACATAACGCATAAAAAATCTGAGAAAAGTTTTATTAGAAGCATTCGAAAGCTTGAAACTTTTCTTTTAGGTTAAGTGGTCGGCAATTAATTGTCTGATTTTTAATTGCCGAGGGTTGAAGAGTTAATGAAAAAAATGCTTTTTTTACTTTAAATTTTTTACTTTAAATCTCCGTAACCAATAATCGTACAATGTTTAATATGTAAATGATAATAAAAATAAAAATATATATATAATAGATATGCATGAAAAATTATGCTATTGCGTCAGTATTTCTATTTATCATACTAAGTACCCATACAGCAAGGAATATGCTAGAAATGTGCTATAAACATTCTATGAATATTCTAATATTCCACGGGTCATTCGGAATATTCTATAAAAGTTTTATGAATATTTCATGAAATTTTGTTTATTCGGAATATGCATAGAATATTCTATAAATATTCTAAGAAATGTCCCAAGTAACACAGTCTGGCTATATTCGCTGCGACAGCAAAAATGTAGTTAGTATAACGTTCTGCCAGCCTTAATTACAGCTATTTGACAGTAAATATTATTTTGCTAAACTTTTAACTGCAAAAGCGCTGTGACAACTAATAAAAAAGTCAAAATGCAGCCACAGCTATTTTAGCTGTATTAATAGCTATAAAATTGCTGTGGCAGCTATCAAAAAAACCAAAATTAGCCGCAACCATTTTAACTGCATTAATTGGTATGAAGT